GGGAGGGAGGGAGGGAGGGAGGAAGGAAGGAAGAAAGAAAAAGAAAGAAAGAAAGAAAGAAAGAAAGAAAGAAAGAAAGAAAGAAAGAAAGAAAGAAAATCACACTACTCTACATACCATGTTTTGCCTTCTAATGTAAGCATTTGTTTTCAGACTTCTTTCCTATATGCCTTTGAGGTAGCTGTTCTTATGATGAGCTTCTTTGCAAAAGGATTATTTGAAACTGTAGTGCAGTCATATGTCTGCACCTCAGAATGCCTTGTGCTAGATGACCAACTGCAGTGGACACAGTGACCTATCACCCAGCTCTTCTCTCCAGAACTTGTTCCAGATTATTGAAGGATCATGGGCAAACAGTTTTCAGTTGCCAGTACCTTCAGGATTCCTCTGGTCGCAGATAGCCCCTTTGTTCAAGGCTGTGCCCTCTTGGCTGCTGGCATTCATTAATGATTACTGCCATCTTGAGAATGCACTGAAGGACCATTATGTCTCCAGAGAGTCCCCTGGATGGACCAAAACTACTGCTGGATTTGTTTCATTACTCAAGGCCGACTTTGATCTCCTCCTGGTTCACTCTCCTCCACAGTACAGATTTTATGGTCACTCTTCTATGATAGCCTAATCATGAAACTCCATCTCAGACTTGACTTTGTATGGAATACAACCTGCAGTGTGAACTTTTTGAAATTCAAAACCATGTTCTTAATGAACATTATTACACTATATTTTGAACTTGATTCAGTGAGACAGGTTAACAAAGGAACATACCCTTACTTGAACCCATAGTTCTCCTTAAGGGAAATAACAGACTAAATAAACAAAACATAGGTTAAAATTCATTGTGTGTCCTCATTGTGACTCTGTCATAGCAATTCTACTGTGACATTGCTTGATTGTTATGTTGGATTTATACACTGATATATAATTTAAAGTGTCAAAAATAATATGCCATATAATTAGAAAGGCTTGTGAGTCTCAAAAAAAAGCCTCTAGTATATAAAAAGAAAAATTGGAAAGTTCATACAAATCTTAGAATAGAAATGAGGGTACCTTTGTTTGCTTGGTATCATAATCAAAAGGAGCTTAGACCACTATCCCCAGATAACCACCAAAACCACCGCTGGGATAAATCAGTTTCTCCTTTGGTTTAGGACTAATGTTTCCTTGTAAAACTCAAATTTCATGGAAAAGTGTCTGCTTGGCTGACTTCGGTCACATACCCGCCTGTTTAAAGATATACTTCTCTTCCTATATAGACATTTCTTACCCAGACTACATGCAACAGAGATGGCAGTTAAAGTGTTCCTAGAAAGATCGGGGTGGTGCGGGTACACACTGATGAATCTGCCTGCCTTCCACAAGTCTGCTGGGCAACATGAGGAAAATACATTCCAAGACTCTTAATAACATCCCAAGACACTTGCTCCCAAGATGAATCGAGGCAGCCTTGTAGCAGCCATTGCCCAGGAGACAAAACAAATGTCTACACAGAGTCATGTATTCTTCCACAGCAGGCAAACCAGTGTTCCTAAAATAGGTTTTATCAGACGGTCAAACAGATAGAAAACAGAGATACTTAAATTTTATCAACTAAGTCCATGAAAAAACATGAGGACACATGCTTAAATTATTGAGGTCAAAATTGTAGTTTCTGATAATGGTAATTTTAATCATAAATCTAACATTTATTTTTGCTGCAATCATGCAATGTTTGTATCATTCATAATTCTATATAGACTCAGGTGACTTTCTGACATAAAATTACTTAACTCTAACTTGCTTGCTGAGTTTATTTATATACATGGTATTAGGAGTACCAGATAAAGTATACAATATCCAATTAAAATCTAATTTTTTTAAAGATTTATTTATTTATTATGTATACAGAAGAGGGTGCCAGATCTCATTACAGATGGTTGTGAGACACCATGTGGGTGCTGGGAATTGAACTCAGGACCTCTGGAAGAGTAGTCAGTGCTCTTAACCTCTGAGCCATCTCTCCAGCCCCTTAAACTTTAATTTTAAATCAATGGAAAATAAATTTTTTAAGTATCTCCCAAACTCAAAAGTGGATGTATTTAATACTAAAGACTATGCTGTTTTCTATCTGAAATTTACATTAGGTGTCCTGCTTTCTTGTTCTCAATCTGGCATCCCTGTTTTATGATACATACATGACACTTTTTATGTAGCATTCATTTTCCTGACTGCTGGTAACCACAGCCTATTTTCCTTTTAGAAAGCTATCTACTGCTTTAGAAGTGTGTGTAGTATGGGCAGAACTAACCAAGCTCCCAGGATGCATGCCTTGAGTTTTATCTATGAGAACATTGCAAGTGGCCTGCAACGGTGAACAGGTCAGTAACCAGCATGTGCATGCTACAGACAATGAAAGCCTGAGTTCAGACCCTTACTCTGCAAGTAGAAAAGAGTATTTTCATTGTTTTTGCAAGATTTTATTTTAGTGTGTGTGTGTGTGTGTGTGTGTGTGTGTGTGTGTGTGTGTGTGTGTGTATGTGTGTGTACAGACCCAGTGAAGCCATAAGATGGCATTGGGTCCTTTAAAGCTATAGTTACTGGATGATGTAACCACAGAACATCAGTGCTGGGAACTGAATTCAGGTCCTATATAAGAGCGGCAAGTGATCTCAACCACTAAGTCATCTCTCCAACCCTCAAAGAGAGTTTTTTTTAGTGTTGATCTTTGTCATCTTGTTCCTTTGTTTTTATGAAATAGATGGGTAATTGTAAATCCTGGAGCTAGTTGGAGTTGTTAGCACATGGGGAGATCCTGCTCATGAATCCAAGCTACATAGAAAAATACTGAAAGTTGGGTATAAGAACCAATAGACTAGGTTCACCTTCTTTTATTTTTAAGCCACACTAGCTGTACTTAGATTTCCCCCAGATACACTCATGAATGTCCTTAAGAAAGATATTTTGAGAGACTAAAAATACATACAATGATATTATTAAAGAGAAAAATCAGGGGACTAAGGATATATATATAGCTCAATGGTAGAAGTACTTGCCCAATATGCCCAAGATTCTAGGTTCAATACCCAGCCCTCAAAAACAACCAGAACAAAAGGAAATCAGAACCATATCCAGGACAACAATGTAAACCAATCCTGAAGGTTAACATAGCTGACTGTTTTCTAACACATGACATGTTGCATTGATAATATGTGAAATGCATGTGTTAAGTACACATAACAACTTTTTCATGTTGATTTTAAATTACTATAATAAAAAAAAATTCAATGTATCTAGCATACCAAACCCAAGACTTTTTCAAAGGTATTTGTTAGTATAAACAAAAAATTTGCTATACAGCAAACTGTTCTTTCAGGTATATAAAGACAGGCCAAACGTTGCGAATGCATTATAAAAAGCGATCAAATTTTTAAAAGTGCTCACATCATTGTGCATCAGATTTTGCTGTTAGCATCCTGGCAGACAGTAATACGGCAGGCAATAGGGGAGAGACACAATGCTTTATAGCTATTAACAGAAAGGAAATCATCTCAGTGCTGCTGGAAGGCCCACTCACTTTCCGCAACTAAATTTCAAAACAAGTATTTTATTTTGCACTTTTACAGAGAGGGTGTTAACTTATATTACTCTAGAATATCCTCCACAATGGCATTATAAAAAGATAAAAATAACCTGTCTAAAGGTGAATTTAATAGCAATCATCTATTAAAGTCCAGAATGTTTAAATTATACCTTAGTGTGTTTTGGTTCTATAAGAGATGTAAGTTAATGTGGTACAGCCATGCAGCCTTCCCGAGATGTAATTCAATGAAAAAAAAAAAAAAAAAAAAAGACAAACTTAGGCTACCTAGGGAATCCAGGGGAGAGCACTTCAATTGAAAACTTCTGTAAAGGCTTCATCTCTTACTGGGTTTTGAAAGTAGGTAAATAGGGTGTAATTAGGGGTTTTGCTATTTGTGGGTCTTGGAATGCTGGTATTCTATATTGGTAATTGAGGACAGACACATGTGCTTTGGAAATCAGAGAACAAAAACAACTATTACTGAAGATAAGAAAAAGGCTTTTTTTTTTTTTTTTTTTTTTTTTTTGTCAGCTCAGAGAGTTCTGTAGCAAGTACAGTCAGTCTTCCCTACTAGGTATAATACAAACATAATGTCCTTTAGAACAGAACATAAATTGTGAGAAAGCTGGGTGCAATTGATCTTTTCAACTAGGGATTATAGGAACCATTGGAAAGAGGGAAAAATAGGGTCTAGTTGTTACAAAAGAATAAGTTATTTGATGGAACCCCAGCAAGAGGCAAGGAAGGGAATGACCAGCAGTTGGCTTTGTATGAAATATGTGGGAAGTAAATTAAAATAGCTTAAGGAAGAACAACGGCAAATAGAACCTAAGCAGCATGAAAGATGACAGGATGTATCAGAGTGAACGCATGTAGAGAACATATGTCCTTGGGATAATGCTTGCCTTATTCAGGAAGCAGGAGCGCATTGTTTGCTATCTTTAGGTAGATAGTAGATT